GAACAGGTATTTTTCATCAAGTATTAATATGTTGAACTTTAAGTCCCTACAGAATATGATGAAAAAACTAACTTTATAATTTTCAAATATTAAATTTTTTAAACTGTGAAGCATATAACCCATAAACAATACAAATGTTTCTTTAGTTTTTTTGGGTTGTTTTTTTTTTTTTACTTTTACTAATCTATGTCTGTAATACATATGATTGTATTCACTGTAGGGAATTGGTACATATATACAACATATTTCAATTTTTTCCCTTCCCTCCACCCCCCCTTAATTTGCTAGCATCAGACTTATTGATAAAATCATATAAAGTTAATTGTCATATATATAGACTGAAAACCAGACTAATAGATCAAAGAACATGCAAAATATGTAAGAGATTGCATTAAGTCAAGGCACACTTACAGATACTCTGTACATGCTGTATTATCTCTGTCTCTCTGTTTCTGTCTCTCTCTTGTCTCAATCTGTCTCTGTCTCTCTGTCTCTCTCTGACTCTTTCTGATTCTCTCTCACTCTCTCTCTCTCTCTCTCTCAACTATAATATTTGCAGTTGAGTTCTTACTGACCTATGACATGAGACTATGTAAACTGTTATGATAAAGAACTATAATCATATATCCCAATGAGTAGTGAGAAAATACCTCTCCATCAACTATCAAAACACTTTCATTAGAACTTTATGTGATACTGGCACCACATGCTGGGTGGGCCCTGCCCCCAAGTGCAGTGAGCCTGCCACCAAGTCCGGGCATGGTGCACATGCCTGTAATCCCAGTGCTGGGAAGGCTGAAAACAGGAGAATCACTCCAAGTCCAAGCTGTGTAGTGAGACCCTGTACCAAATACATAGAAATAAAAAAATAAAAATAAAAAAGAAAGAACTTTATATGACAACTAATATGCAGTGTTATGCCTTGTGCACAGATGTCCCCCAAAGCCCCATGTGAGCAAAGATGTGGCTTTTTCAGAGGTGGCCGAATCTAGAGTATGTGATATTTGAATTGATACACACTGCAATGCTAGGATCCAGGGCACCAGGATTAAGGGCATGAGTGCTACCCACCCTCAGGAGTCTGGATAAGATATAAGAGATGGCAAGAACTGTGGTCACCCCTTGCTGCTCTGTTACCTTCAGCCCATCATAAACTATTTCTTCTCTGAGAAATCACCCTGCCTTGGAGCCAGGTGATAATAGCCTGAAACTTTTACAAACTATGTATGAGCTAAGTGAACCTTCTACCCTTTAACTTTGGGTGTCAGATAGTTTATCTCAAAAGAGAAAAGTAACTAAGACATGCAGGAAAGCTCACAACCAATCCTCCAAACAGAACTGTTTTCCCAGCCACAGTTCACAGTGAGAAAAATGGCATGTACTAGTGACCAGAACATCATTCCAGAGCTGGTTCTACTACAGATCTAACCTCAGTAAATCAATTCCAGAGGTGGTCTACTTCCTGCAGACACCAGTCTACCTGGATGATACAAGTATTAATGAGGCTGTTGCAAAAAACCAAAGCTTTCTGAGTTGTTTGAAGCTTTTTGAATAACTACGAAGACTTATTATTTCATCTGAGGAGTAAGTGATCCCCTAATGTGGCATCATTAACATCAAAAAAGCAGGCAGAGCCAAAGCCAAAACTGACTCCTGATTTCTTCCAAATCCATCCAAACCACTTCTCTTCTTGGAAGACAATTCAGAAGAATATTTTATTACTTAAACACAACTGAGAGTAAATTTAAAGGATAAAAAAATTATAATCACATCCACTTTATAATTCTTCCTTAACTCCTCTTAACTGTGATGATTTATGTACATGATAATCTACTTCCATAACCAAATGATTCCAATCAGACTTGGAAAGTCTGAAATAAGAAAAACAGATCTTTTCCTTTTTCTTACCATTCAAGTGTTCGGTGATATATGCGAAAGAATAAAATCCCCTTGTTGAGACTGCTGAAAGAATAATCGGCCCAGTGTAGTAAGATTTTATGACAGTGTCAGACATGTTTCTCAGGACAGGAAGCTGCTAATCACAAATTCAAAAGCCCAGGTGAGTGGCAGTGGTTTTTAACACAGGAGCCACGAATGTTTGGCGGGTCCCATGAAGAACTAACGACAAACACAATCATGTGATTTAGTGTTCTTCCATATCACATCATAAAAACAGCAAGAAACTAAAATATGGATTGATGTGTCACACAGTATAAAAGTAAACCCTCTGAAATAATTTATTTTCAAATGAAATACACCTAAAGGGTACCAGGAGATTTGGGAACCTTGGTATTTAACCTGAAGAACTTTACTACAAATGAAAACCCTGGATGCAGATCATTGTTCATGTTCATGGCAACCATGGCTCACGTGTTCTTAACTACACTTGATAAGAGTTACTTTCAATGAAAGATGCCATTAACAGACCAAATCTCTTTACATGCTTTTCACTGCTTCGTCAAGTTCCTGTTAAACATCCACCCTCAGCAAGCTACAGTGCTGACTCTTCAGAGGGTCCAAAGACCTGGTCACCAAGGAGCACTGAGTTCAATCAAGGAGAAAAGCAAAAGGCAAATATTTGACATGGATACATTGTGAAACAGGGAAAGGCTTGAGGGAAGAGCCAAAAAAAAAAAAAAAAAAAACCTCACAAATTGAGAAGGGATGTTGTCTACGGCGAGGTTAAGGAAGAACTGAAGGGGAACAGGCAGCTTCCAGGCATAATTTTCATCTCAGACCCAGGGTACAGCCTGAGCAGAAGAGGAAAGTGAGAAAAGCCCTTAATGTATCTGGAAAATACAAATATTTCAATTCAGCCAGTGTCTAAGTCTGATGAAGAACCCACTCTTTATTTTAAAATAGTCAAAGTCAATGCACTCTAAAATACTTAAAGTGTGCATTTATAACTAGCATATTAGAAACTACAAAGAGGGAATTGAGGGAGGGGTATAGTACAGAGAAGAGGAAAAAATAAAATTCATGGTGAGCATCCTGCTTAAAGTACCCTCCTACATTCTGCTCTTCCTTAGACGCACCCCTATCCCTGCAACAGTGCCTCCTCAGAATGCACTGCAGTCTGGTGCTGCCTGCACCATAGGAGCTGAGAGCTAAGTGACTGCCACCACCCTAAGCTTGCTGGAATCCTATGTGAGACAGGAGATGGATGTTCTCTGACTTTGTGTATCTGGACCTTTGAACAATATACAGCACAGAGAAGGTTCTTAAAATGTCTTTTGCTGAATCAGTCACTGCACAATGAATTGAACTGTCTAGTCAGTAGCCAAATGTTTAAGATAAATGCTGTTCTCAGGGACCCAACATGAGACATATTCTGAAACATTTCACTATAATATAGAAGGTAACCTACCATATGTTCATAGAAATGGTCATTAAGTAACAGTATTTTCAAGCAATTGAAAAAGGAATAGTTGAACTACTTAATTTTAAATTCTCCATGAAATCTAAAAGTCATATCATAAATGTAATTGGGGCTGGTTTATAAAGAGCATGCCAATACGGTCATGCCTTGGTATACTCACACATCCAGCATGGATACCAACATGTGAAGATGCTCCAATCCTTTGTAGAAAATGGCACAGTATTTACAAAAAACCCATATATGTCTTCCCACATATGTCCTACTTTTTCTTGTATCTATCTTTTTACATCATCTGTTAAAGCCAGCATAAACTAAATTTTGTGCTTTCAAGCTAAGCAAGTGCTTTACCACTGAGATGCACGCCCAACCCCTGCCATATACTTAGATCATCTCTAGATTGCTTTTGATACCCAATATAATGCAAATGCTATGAATAGCTCTCATACCGTATTTTCTACAGAACAACTATGTTTAAAAATCTGTATATGTGAAGCAAAGACACAAGTTGTTCTAAGTACTTTTGATCTGAAATTGTTTCAATTCATAAATGTGAACTACAGAACAGAGGGTCAACTGTATTAGAAAGTTCAGATATTATAATAAAAAATTTAGTTTATGCTGGCTTTAACAGATGATGTAAAAAGATAGATACAAGAAATACCTTTCAAAAACTGGAAGAGAAAAAAAAAATAAGCAAAAATCTATGTAAAAGAACCAATGGGGAAGGGAAAGGAAAGCAAAGCCTGAGTAAGAGAACACAAGGTAGAATGGGTAGTGTTTATTGAATAAATAATTCTGATAGCCAAAGGAAAGGAAAGGAGAACAAAAGATGATCCAAAGTTGGGACACATGTGGCCAAGAAACTCCTGAGAACTAGAAGTCTACAAATATGTATTTTATAACAGGCTGATCAGGAGATTCTTACACACACTAAAGTCTGACAATCAAAAGCCCTTGCCAGTTCCTATTTGAACATAATTGAGCTGAATTTAAAGTAATTAAAAATCAGTATCAACAATGAAAATAAATTATGTATTAAAAGCCTTTTATTAGATTATATTCCATTAGCTGATTATAGATAGGCTTAATGAAGTTTCAAAAGAATGAAGCTACAGTTTCCATGTTTTCTCTCATCCTAAATTACACCAGTGATTATCATTTAATTTAACCTGTTAAACTTGAAAGTATAAATACAACATAGCCTTAATAACTCCTCACCCATCATCATGTCACATCAGTCACATATTTCATACATTTTTACATCACACAAGCGGTCCTTATAACAAATAAAGTGTACTTTTAGAGAAGAATTTAGCAAATCAGTATTTTGGAGAATTATCAAAGCTAAAACAATGTTGGCTTCTGTAAGATTAAGCTCACTCATTAAGGAAATCTACATATTATTTCCTCATCCAATCACTCTGAGAGTTATTACAAAACTAATTTCTATGCACATACTTCAAAGAGCAAAACAGAGCTTTCAAACCTTTGTGCTATGGTTCTAGCATAGAGCACCTTAGTCTAAGGCAAGACATAACAGGCTGGAAAGCTGAAAATCAGATCTCGATATTGCTTAAAGTATGGCACTTCTGAGAAAACTGCACAAATAGTTTTCTCTCAAAAAACCATAATATTTAATTTATTACCAGAAGCAATGTTACTATTCATTCATCTGCTTTGGAAAGGAACTGCCATAATTATAGAAGGAGCATAACATGAGAATTTAACACTCTGGTCACCTTTTGTTGAGTTACACGTATTTACTTAATTCCACAGTGTCAAACTCTAGATGGTTTAACATCATTCATAAGATTTCCACTTATGATGGAAAAATTGCATTAACTTGATATAGATATAGATAGATAGATAGATAGATAGATAGATAGATAGATAGATATACACAGATATATATAGATATTCAAAAACAAAACTTTTACAGCCATTACCCAATTATATTTTCTTCCCATTTTGGAAAAAAAACATGTAGGGAAAAAACCTGAAAAGCTATAAGGATGTTGTTTTGATACTTAAAGTTATAAATGTTTCCATCACAAAGATAACAATAAAGTAACTAAAGACACTGAAACCCTCCAAGTCTATTTCTTTTTCTAGCATGAATTTTCCTCCCTCCTCCAATCTCTCTGTCAATTAAAAAAAAAATCCTTAACTTGTATTGAAATTTAGCTGATACAGGAAAGAACTATTTCTCAAACACAATTTACTATGGTTAATAAGAATTTTGATTGAAAAACAGTTTTCATACAGTCATTTTCAGACTTTATTTTTACTATGGATAGTTCTTTTAACAAGTCATATAACATTCATAACATTTGCATTTCTTGCCAATATTTTTTCTAATGTCCTACACATTCTGTTCTGTTATAATTCCATACATGCATCTTTATATCTGCTTTTTCTCACCCAATACTGTATTATTACTTATTATACTGTGCAACAGTCACAATAACTTTGAACATTCTCTAGGGGGCAACAACTTGACATACACTTACTCAAACCTTGTAACAAATTGGTCAAAATGAGCATTGTACAGCTTGAATATGGATGCTGATTATCAAACAGCTATGAGTAGTAAAATCGGAAAAACAATAGAGTGTTTTCTTTCCCTAAATACCTCCTCTCAAGTCACTACATGCACTGCCTTTCAAATATTTTAAAAAATGATATGCACTAAGCGATCACATTTATCAAAGAAACCAGTATGTTATTCATTTGAAATATTGAAGCTCTGTGAAAAAGAATTCTTATACCAATAAAATTATGATCCCAAACATTTAACACACAAACTTACTTGTAGCTTTCAACTTGCCGGCAGGAAGAGACAGTAATGAAGGAATCTGTACGGGAACTGTAAGCAAGAGGACCAGGCAGAAGAGAACCAGGAAGAAATCGTCCAAAAGCATAGCTTTCCTGCTCAAACACCATCAGCATCCCATCCATAGACTGGATACAAATTAAATCTCGACCTAAACAAGAATAATAAGAAATAGGGTAATCTATTCTTTTTATAGGTATGTGATCATTTACCTTTATTTACTACAAATATTTCCATGATGGCTAACTGTATCAACTTGATTAAGAGGAGTTTAAATTGGCTCAGCAATTCCACATCCTTGGGTATGGAAAGCCCGACCCCGGGTAGCTTGTCACTTAGATGGAACAGAAGGACAGATCTGCTTCTGTTTCTTTTGAGAAGCTCCAGTCTTTGCCTTCACATTGACTGTCTTTTCCTGGCTTCCAGAGCACACTCTTCTGTTTCTGGTCCAGATTCTTCAGCTTCTAGAATGGAAGCTTCAGCCTTTCACCGCAGACCCATCAGCCTCCTGACAAAGACTTGCATGGGCCACTGCAGTGAGCGCCAGACCATCGACTAAATCCTCCACCTCCAGTGTACAGACACTCTCTGTATGCTACCTAACCAACTGTAGGGTGGCCACTGTAAGCCAATCTTATAGCTTCTTCTCTATTTTTATATCTTGTGTTATATCTGTTTCTCTAGTAAACAATGACTGATATAATGTCATAGTTAATTTTTCCACAAGGAACAACTCTAAGGTAAATTTTAAATAGCAAACCAATGTAGCCATCAGGTTATTATATACATTAGATTATAATATGCATTTCCCAATTTTTCATTATTCACTAATGTCTCTTATTTTCAATACATTTTATATTTTATTTTATTTTATTTTTTGTGGAACCAGGGATTGAACTCAGGCCCTTCCACTTGCCAGGGAAGTGCTTATTCCACTGAGCCATCTCCCTGGCCCCTCATTTTATTTTATTTACTAAATGCCAAAATCTCCTAGTTCAAGATTATTCTTGAGAACAATCATAAGTATAAGATTCCACTTCTTCCACAACTGGGGAGGTAGCTCAGTGGTCTATGCACCTGCCTGGCAAGCACAAGGTCCAGAGTTTAATCCCCAGCACTGCATGCTGCACTCACATGGTGGTGCATGCCTATAATCCTAGCACTGAGGAGGCTGAGATAGGAGGATCACTGTTAGACCAAACTGCGTAGAAAAACCCTGTATCCACAAAAAAAAAAAAAAAAAGGATTCCATTTCTTCCAAATTCATAAATATAACTCAACTCTTCAATTTTCATCCTCCAGTCTCATGAATTAAAATGAAAGACATCAGTCAACACAAACAGAGGCTGGGTTGCAGCTCAATGGCGCATAGAGCCATAGATCCAATCTCCAGCACCCAGAGCATACACAAGGCACACAAACAATGGGTCAAATCTCTGTACTTGTCTTAATTAGTTCTGTGCAAATTATAATATTCAACAATGTAGTAAATAAAAAATCCTAATCACTGATGGCCCTGAACCATGAGCTGCTTTGGGGCAATCAATCTATCAATAGTAATTATAATACAGTTCTTAAAATATGCTGCTGTTGTCTCCTATGACACAGTATCATATCTGTTAAAGCATTCAAGCCTATAGTATATTAAATATGCAGCACCTAACTAAGTCTATAGATCCACCATCCATCATTGCTCCCCCTTAAAATTTGGTTTTGCTTGACTGAATCCTAATAACAACCCCTTCCTCCCTAAAAAAATAACCAGCTATAAAAGACATATTAGGGGTTGGGGAGATGGCTCAGTGGAATAAGCGCTTCCCTGGCAAGCGCAAGGGTCTGAGTTCAATCCCCAGTTCCGCAAAAAAAA